GCTTCTTGTGAACTTATATAGGCCCTACCCAGTTGGAATTACTATTGAGGAGTGATATAGCTAGGAAATGTGTTTTTTACAAATTAACTTTCACATGAGTCAGATAGACAAGTAAATAGTATGTCTATTTGCATAATTAGGAAACTGAGGCATAGAGGAATCCAGGGACACTGGAATTAGAACTCAAGTGTTCTGATTTGGAGCTCTTCATATTATATTATGAGCTCACGGAGTCCATTCTGGTAGTCTGAGTTAGAGTTTAGCTACCTAGCTTTTGAATAAGACTTTCTGGGAAGGGAATTGGTTATTTTGGTTAGGCATGCTACTCTTACGGTTTTAAACCTTTACGTAGCTGCAGTTTTTCTAAATGACAAAAATGAGTGAAAGATGGGCTGCTTTTGCTTTCTGCCAGTACACTGTTTGCTGAGGAACCCTGGTAATGCAGTGGGTAAAAGCACTTGGCTGCTAATTTAAAAGTCTGTGGTTTGAATCCACCAGTGGCTCCACAGGAGAAAGATATGGCAGTCTGTTTCAGTAAAGATTTAAAGCTTTGGGTGTGCAATTTTCAGAGTCGCTGTCAGTGGGAATTGACTGATAGTGGAGCAGTGGAGCTTTGTGTGTGTGTGTGTATGTGTGTGTGTGTGTGTGTGTGTGTTTTAATTCTTTTATACTGCTGTGTACTACAAGGATACAGAAATTAAGGTCTAGTTTATACTCTGCAAAACCAAATTTATTCTGTAGCAAAGTATTCTCATTCATGGTGTTACCTACTATATATGCATTATTTTTAAACTGACATTAAAAAAAAACGATGCGTTTTGTAAACCACAGCTCTCATTTTCCCTGCTATTGGCTGAAATAACATTCATTTTCATGCATTAGCACCTGCCCAGGGGCCTGGTGATTCAAAAGAGCAATGAGCAAAGTGGTTTTAATTGCCCAAGCTTTACTAGAGCCTTCCTTGCACTCAGAAACACAAAAGACTTTGAATAGTGTCAGAGGGCTGTGCTGAGAAGGGCTCTCAGCAGATGATTCACACACAGTGCTGAAGCATTGTCGTGTGCAGTTGAGTCCATGAGCACATCTTCATTCCTACTGTGAGAGGATGGCAGAGCACTTGTCAGTTTTAGTTGCTTTGAACACTTGCCCTGGAAATCAGGCAAACTTTAGAAGCTCTGAAGTCATTAGTGTAGAATGCCATCTTTTTGGAATTTTACTTGCTAATGATATTTCTGACATTTTGTATCCATAATTTAAACTGTGTGGTCATGCCTTGAGGGCATAAAACAACAACAGTCATAGTCAATATATCAGAATAATTGTAAGTACAGGCTCTCGAGTCAGACAGGCTACCTGTGCTCAATTCTCATCTCTACAATTTATTTTTAGTCTTTGGATCTTATATAAATTCTATTATCTCTATATATGAGTCTCAAGTTTCCTTATCTGATAAAGAGCTATTGTAAAGGTCAAATTAGTTTAAGGAAAACCCTTAGAACATTTTCTGGCATATAGTATGTACTTAATAAATTTTACCTAATCAGGATTTATATTTTATATGGTTAAAAATTAGAAATGGGTTGTAAAAATTGGAAGAAGCACTACAGGTATTCATATGAAGGATAAATATAAATTATAGGAAATTATCTCAGTGCTTCAACATTATTAGCTTACATACAAATTATTGTTATGGTGATCACCATCCCAATAAAATTGTTTAATTTTTTACTGGTTTTATTTTAATCATAAAATCAGGACTTTTATAAACTGAATCCTAGGTATGAATAAATAAAGATTTAGTTTAATCCTCATTTATTTATTCACTTATAAACAAGTACTTAGTAAGCCCTAACAATGTACCTGAGTTGAAAATACAGGGATAACAAAAGATATAACCCTTGCTTTCATGAAGTTTACAATATAAAAATAAAAGACAAACAGGAAAACTTTTTATTACACTGTCAAGTGCTACGGTAGAGATATGACTGATGTAAAATGATGGCTCAGGAAGAAGCACTCAGCTGTTCAAAGAGACCAAGGAAACTTCCCAAACTAGGTATCATCTGAGTTGAGAATTAAGGAGGAAGAGCTGAGAAGTTCATGTCTGATATAGGAAACTTCTCAAGGAAAAGCATGAATGCTCAGAAATGCAGGAAGCATAACTCGTCAAGAACCTGTAAATAGCTTGGCATTGCATTCATCATCAAAAAGAACATTTCAAGATATCTTGAAGTACAATGCTGTCTGTGATAGGATAATACCCCAGGCCAACAAGGAAGATGAGCGAATACAATATTTTTCAAATTGACCCACCAACTAGTAAAGCCACCACCGATGAAGAAATTGAAGAATTCAACCAAGTTATTCAGTCTGAAATTGACCAAACATGTAATCAAGATGCATTGCTAATTACTGAGGATTCGAATGTGAAAGTTGGAAACAAAGAGGAGAGTTCAGTAGTTGGAAAATATGGCCTTGGTGGTAGAAACCAGAAATCACATGACAGAATGTTGCAAGACCAACTTCTTCATTGCAAATACGTTTTCAACCATTTAAATGGAAGCTATTCGTATGGATATTTTGACAAATTGACTAAATCTGTGAAAAGAGATGTTGGAAAAGCTCAATATCATCAGCCCCTAAAATAAGACCAATAGCCAATCATGGAACAAACCAGCAGTTGCTCATATGCTAGCCCGAGTTGAAGATGAAGAAAATTAAAATAAGTCTGCAAGAGTCAACACACACCTTTAATATGCCCCATCAGATTTTAGACATCATCTGAAGAACACATCTGGCACATTGACCATGGGGTTCAATGATCAAAGACCAGATGACTTGTGGGACAAAGGCATCGAGAACATCATACATAAAAAAGCACAAGGTCAGTAAAGTGACAGGAAGAAAAGAAAAGACCAAAATGGATGTCAGAAGCTACTCTTAGACTTGCTCCTGAATATGGAGTAGCTAATGTGAATGGAAGAAATGATGGATTAAAAGAACGGAACAGAAAATCTGAAAAGGCAGCTTAGAAGAAAAGTAAAGCATTATAATGAAATTTATAAAATTCATTATATGGAGTTAGAAAACCAAAAGGGAAGAACATATCTCAAACTGAAAGAACTGAAGAAAAAAATTGGAGCCTCAAGTTTCAATATTGAAGGATTCTGTAACAGGCATCAAAGATGATGAAAGGACACAGTTACTGTACCATAAAGAATTTTTAAAACATTCAGCCATTTCAAGAAGTAGGATATGATCATGAACTCATGGAATTGAAGGAAGAAATCCAAGCGACAATCCAAGGAAGAACTTGAAGGCATTGGCAAAGCCAAACTGGGTTCCGGGAATTGACAGAATACCAACTGAGATATATCCAAAAAGTGATGCAATACTGGAAGCACTTAACTCCTCTATGCCTGATTGCTCATTTTCTTCCAGAATCCAGAGCGCTGGCATCCTTAATTCCTTTGCACCAAAAATACCAATGGAAAAATTAGAAGCATTTGGCTTTTATGACCTGGTAGACCCACTAGCCCCACTGGTCTGTCAGTTTGTCATACTGTGATAGTTTCACCTTATTTACTCAATCTGTATGCTGAGTAAATAATCCAAGAAATTGGACTATATACAGAAGAATATAACACCAGGATTAAAGAAAGACTCATTAATAACTTGTGATATGCACATGGCACTGATGAAGGTCAAAGACTACAGTCTTCAGAATGGATTACATCTCAATGTAAGGAAATAAAAAATCCTCACAACCGGACCAAGATAAAGCTCTTTCTCATACACGTATGAGTGTCTGTGAATTTGTTTCTCTAGTCAACCAGACTAACATACCATGCAGTGCTAGAACAAACAGATCTGTCTTGGAGGAAGCACAGTCAGAGTGTTCCTTGGGAGGGAAAATGGCAAGACTTCATCTCACGTGCTTTGGACAGCCCCTGGAAAAGGACAACATACTTGGGAAAGGAGAAGGGCAGAGGAAAAGAGGAACACTCTCAATGGGATGGATTGATACAGTGGCTACCGTGCTTCGTTCTGTTGCACTTAGGTGCTCTATGAATCAACTCAACAGCCCTAACAATAACAAAAATACAACAAATGTATTCCTAGCTCTTCTGTAGCATGTGGCATATTGCATTGTAATAATTTATGTGTTTGTGATTTTTGAGGATAATAAATTTATCATGACATCCTTTGAATAGTTTTTTTATAGAAAATTCACATATCATATACTTTCATAGTTAAGTGGCTTTTAAAAATAGTTGTGTATGCACTTTCCCCCTCCCTCATTCATTGCTTGCTCCTCTCCCTCTTGTCTCTCCCCAGTAAACCATTGCATCAGTTATTGTCTCTATGCATCCACTCTTTCTGTGTTTCATAAACTGGGAAATATAACATAGCAAATAAGAACAAAACAGAAAGAAAAAATAATGAAATAAAAATAAAGAGGAAGAAAGAAAAGGCCACCAGCAATATTAAAATAAGTCAGAGAGAAATTTTCTGTCATGGATCAAGGGAGAAATATTTAAACCTGGAGCAAATTCAGGTTAGGTTAAGAGGGAGGCCCACTGACCAGGTATCATATTATACCTTAGTTCTATCCACCATAATCAAGTTTACAATAATCTCTGTGATAGTAAAGTGGTTTACACTGTGGCTAGAAGGGATCTGGTTGAGGCTTAATCTGAATAGATACTCTGCAGATGGATTGTGGGACCCCACTGTCCTCCATAACCTTCTACAAATTGGGTGCTCACAATTTAAGCTCTGATACTTTTCCCTTCATCATATTTGGATTTTGTTATTGTCATCTCTGCATCACATAGGCTGTGTCTTCTTCCGTGTGGACTTAGTTGATGCCTCACTTAGACAGCTGCTTGTATGAATACAAGCCTTAAGACCCGAGACATTATTCCAGTTGATAGCCGAACACCATCTCCTTTCTTCACCACACTCTGCTCTAGCACCCTATCTTCAGTGATCATGTCATGAAGGTGAGTATTGAGCAGTGCATGGAATCTTTTAAAAGTTCTTATTATTACTGTTAGGTGCCATAGTCTGTTCTTGGTCCTAGTGATCTTGCTGATATTTGAAATACTGATGGCACAGCATATACCATCACAGCAACATGCAAGCCACCACAGTATTACAAACTGACAGGCAAGTGGTAGCTTTTGAAGGTAGTGTAATATAATTTTTTTTAAATGGACTTTGGAGTTAGTCGCTCAGGCCTGGATCCAAACTCCAGTTTTATCACTTGTTAGCTGATAGACCTGGGGTTTCAATTTAAAATAAAACCCAAAGCACCTCCCTCCCTTCTTCAGCACAGGACAGCTTCCAACCAGCTCTCTCAGCTGATCTCTTCCATCAGTTCTCTCCTCTTGGCCTGTATAGGGTCCGACTCAACTCTCCTAGTTGCTCTTGACCATCAGGACTCTGCGCAACCAGCAGGGCAGCTTCAATACTGCTCTGCACCCACTGGTTCTCAGCTGCGGCTATTTTACCACAACTCTTAAAATTCACTGCAACTCCCCGTGGGGTTCCGAGACTGTAATTGTTACAGGAGTAGAAAACCCAGTCTTTTTCCTGTGGAGCTGCTGGTGGTTTCGAACTGCTGACCACCGGATTGCAGACCAACATGTAACTGCTACCCCACCAGAGTGCCTGTATTTTACCAAGATTGGGATGATTTTAGATATAGGGCCTCTGCGTACCAAAGGACAGGCTTCCTTCCCGTCAGCCAAACCCTCTGCCATTGAATCTATTCCAACTCGGCAACACTATATAGGATTTCTGAGATTGTCCATTTTTTTTCCTTTTTTTTTTTAAGTCATTTTATTGGGGGCTCATACAATTCATCACAATCCATACAT